CAGTGCCGCCGACCCTGATCGAAAGGGCTAGGAGTGGGGGGAGGAAGCGGAGGAGGAGGAGGAGGAGGAGGAGGAGGAGGAGCAGGAGCAGGAGGAGGAGAAGGAAGAGGAGGAGGAGGAGGAGGTAGTGGCCGTCGGCACGCCGCCAATGGGCCTGGGTCGCGGACCAAGAGCCTCTCAGATACCGCTTTGGGTATTCTGAGACGCCCGTAGGGAACCGCATACACCCTAGGCGATGCTTAAGAAAACCCCAGTTTTCGTCCAGAGTCTCGATTATTCTTAACTTTTCAATGTAATCCTCAAGATTTTCATAGAAATTCTGGGCTTTTATTCAATTCCTGAGGCTGTGAATTTCTTAACCCATGATTTCTTAAGCATTTCGCAGGGTGTAGGGAACCCCATACTGGGGTCGGCATCTTTGAGGTATCTTGAGGGCTTCCTGGGGAGTTCGTCGGAGTCTCTGGGGAGCCTCTTGGCCGCCTGTGTTGGGGGGGCGTCCTGTGGTGGAGGTTTTGGAATGTTAGTTTGAGTTCCCCCGTTGGCCTCCTCTTGGGTCCGTCTTGGTGGGCATAGTGATCCCCTCCTGAGGGCTCGGTAAGCCGTGCGTCCCGGGACGATATTTAAATTGTCTTGGGCCTTCGTGGGCGACAGTGAGACCGAAACGGCGAGCGCCTTGGGAAAGTTCGCTCAAAACAAGAAGTAGTTCTATGGTTTTGACATTTTAGGCTGGCCCCGGGGGGTCCCAAGATGGCTTGGGATGGCCCAAGAGAGCCCCAGGACGGGCACGCTGGAAGTTTAGAGACTCCGATCCACGCCCCCGAGGCCTTCGGAAAGGTCACGCAGGAAACTTCAGAAACGCCGAGAGGCGCCCACACCCCGAGTGTCCAAGGCCACGAAAGAGGATTTGCATTACCCGATAGGTATTGAGGAATACGTTCATTTGTGGGCACTTCACTCGGTGATTCTAAAATCGTGGCCTCCATAACACTCCTCGTCTCCCCACTCCAGCTTCCTCCCACTCCCATCTTCTTTCGTCCTCCCTCCTCCGCGCCCTTCCTCATCCCTTCTCCCCCTGCATCCCTCCTCCGCGGTCCTCCTCCCAGACATGCGGTGCTTTGATTTTTCGCGAGAGCGCGTTTTGTGGTCGCTTGGAGGGGGGGGAGGTTTGGAGCTGGACCCGCCCCCCCGGATGGAGGGGGGAGGGTTCGACTCCCCTCCCCCCTTCCCGTGACGGAGGGGGGGGGGTCGAACCCCCCCCCCATTCCCCTACTTCTCCTCTCTCCCTCTCCTCGGCTGGCGGCGGCGACGGCGGGAACGACGATTTTCTTTTTGGGCCGGCGCCGGCGCCTGCGGCGGCGGGCGGCGGCGGCGGGGAGCGTCGACGAGGACGACGGTGGTGGTGGTGATGGTGGGTTGTGGTGGTGGTGGTGGTGGCGGTGGTGATGGTGGTGGTGGTTGTGGTGGTGGTGTGGTGGTTTGTGGTGGTGGTGGTGGTGGGTGGGGGTGGGTGGTGGTGGTGTGTGGGTGTGGTGGTGGTGGTGTGGTTGGTGGTGGTGGTGGTGGTTTGTGGAGGTGGGGTGGGTTGTGGTGTGCGGTGGTTTGTGGAGGTGGTGCTGGTGGTTGTGGTGGTGGGTGGCGGGGTGGTGGTGGTGTGATAGTTTGTGGTGGTGGTGTGTGGGATGTGCTGCTGGTAGTGGTGGTGGTTGTGGCGGTGGTGGCGGTGGCGTGGTAGATTGTGGTGGTGGTAGTGGTTGTGGGTTTTTGTGGTGGTGATGGTGAGTTGTGGTGGTGGTGGTGGTTGTGGTGGTGGTGGTGGCTGTGGTGGTGGTGGTTGTGTGGTGGGTTGGTGGTGGTGGTGGGTTGAGGCGGTGGTGGTGGTGGTAGTGGTGGTGGTGGTTGTGGTGGTAGTGGTGGTTATCGTCGCTGCGTCCCCGCCGTCGGCGGCGCCAGCGCCGGCGCTGCTTGCCGCCGCCATCGCCGGCGCCGGCGCCAGGGAGGGGGGTTTGAACCCCTTCCCCCCCCTTGGGCTGCCTATGGTCGTCGTCGCTACGTCCCCGCCGTCGGCGCTGCTTGCGGCCGCCATCGCCGGCGCCATGGGGGAGGTGGTTCAAAGCCCCCCCCCCCGTTGGGAGGGAAAGGAGGGGGGGGTGTTCGGGAGGGGGGTGGCTTGAGGGGGAGGGGAGCCCCACTGGTTTTGATCGACAGCGCCGAGTGTGGGGGGGAGCCCACCCCCGGGTTCGAAACGCGCCGCCGATTGTTCCCAAGGCAAGCGCCCGTGAAACGCGTTCTCTCGATTTTTCATATACGGGGTCATTTCCCCAAGGCCGGTTCTTCGTCGCTCGAGTCGTTTTGCTTTCGGCCCCAGGGCCCCGCGAGGGCCCCCTAGTCCGAAAACGGGCAACAATCATCCGTCGCGCCTTTGTCACGACGCGAAGGGATTTGGGCTTCTGCGGAAGGAAACGTACGCAGATTCACAAAACAAAGATGCGTTTCATGAAAAGGCTGCAAAACCTTGAAAATCGAAGGGAAGAGAAGAATCCCATACATGTCGCGAAACATTGGGGATCCCTGAATGTGTGTCGATTTGCTTGTGTCTCCCCCGGCCCCTTTAGCTTGGTTTCCTCTCTACGGCGCCGATGGAGCTGCGACGTCGCTTGTTCATCGCCGCTGCATCAACGATACGGCGCGACGCTCTGGCCGCAGCTGCTCCGACCCCACCTGCGAGGCCTCTTGTCGCGGCTTGTTCACGACGCCGAGGGGATCCGGGCATCCTCCTCTGCCTGGGGGTCTGGGGCTTGGGACGTACATGTAAGGAAACGCGCAGTTTTGTGCCTCGGCCCTCCTGAAGAGGACGTCGTCTCTGCATCAGCGCCCCCATGGCTCGCCGAGGAGAGGGAAAAGCGAGAGAGGGAGCGGAAAAAGCGAGAGGGAGAAGACCCGCCTGTCTCAGACCGGGCGCAGACGCTTCCGAGGCCAGTGGGGTCCGGGCCTCCTCCGCCAGGACCGCCACCATGCTCGGGCCCGGCGGCTCGCAGCGCCGGCGGCTCCCCTACTCGGTGCTGTCGGTGCTCCAGGCCGAGGCGCTCTTCAACGTCGCCCTGGGCGTCCTGGTGATGGCCGCCACGCAGGGGCCCGCGTCGTACAGGGTGCTGCTGAGGCCTGGAGGAGGAGGAGGAGGAGGAGGAGGAGGAGGAGGAGGAGGAGGCCTGGTCCCGGTCCACACCACAAGGTGCCCGCTATTACGCATCCGGGTGCGCCAAGAACCGCTCGCGGATTGAAGCCATCGTGCAACAGAACGTGGTGGGCTGGAGGCTTCGCCGCGCCAAGATGCCGCATGGAACTGCGTATTTCGACGTTGCCAATGCGCACCCTTCACCACCTCATTCTGATCTTGCCCGAGCCGTTCATCAAGCTGCCGACCCACACGACGCCGATGTATTATTACAACGCTTTCAGTATTCATGTATGGATATTGATGCGGCCGATGGGGTTGCACACGTAAGGCCAGGCTCGGGTGTTCTTCAAGGGGACACATATTCAGCAGAGATGTTCAGTGAGGTGTACCACCCTCGGTTGGATGCTTGGGACTCCGCAGTGCGACAGCCGCCATTACAGGCCCGACACCCGTACATCCCCGACCGCACGCACAATCTTGCGATGACATCCTACGCCGACGACGTCGCCAGGAAGATCATTTGCGGGTCTTTTCAAACCTATCGTAGCACAGTGGATCGTATCAACAATGCTTTCGACACTGCCATTTCCCCTCTATGCCAGAACCGGGACAAACAAGAACACGAATTTCATTCATATGGGCGCCATTCCCACCAACAGATGTACCGAGCTTTCAAGCGTCAAGAGCTTCCTGGAAGAACGACTCCTGCTGCCCGTTCCGTTACCTTGGGGACCGAACTAGTTGCTCGGGGGATCACAAGCCAACGATCGATCACAACTGTGCTCAGGCATACAAGGCGTGGTGTACATCTCGCAAGGTGTGGTTCAACAAGTCTTTACCAATGCGGGCAGTTCTTACAATGTTTCAGGCTTTAGTGTTGTCCGCTTTGTATTATGGTTTGGAGGCGCTTGTTCTGCGGCCGCACGAGCTCAAAAGGCTCGACGTGTTTGTTACGTCCCTCGGCCGCAAGTTGCTGTGCCATAGGGCTTGCACGAAGGAGGTCCTCCCAGATGGCACTGTTCGTTTTACGAGCATCCCGAATACAGAGGTGAAGAAGGAACTTGGAGTTCCAGCTTGCGACGTTGAGCTTCGAGTTCGACGGCTCAAGTGGTATCAAGAGCTGGTGCACCGACTGAATTTACACAGTGGAATTATCACAGCATTGTTTGGCAAGTTTCCGTTCGAGACTGCACATACTATAACTCCTGATGGTCAACTGGGTCAAGCTGCCAACCCTTGGGCGAGACAGTTTTGGCACGATAGTCTAGCACTGGCTCCCTACGACGACGCGCGCTCCCCCATCGAGCGCCTTGACGGCCAGCCCATGTCATTGTTCCAGGACCAGGAGAGTGCGGACATGTTTCTGAGGGTTGATGTGTCGGCCTTGCGCGCCGACGCCCGTGCTGTTCGGATACCGCTGCCGGAGTTCCAGCCCCATGCCGATCCCCCTCCACCGCCACCTCCTTGCCCTGAAGATCATGTGTTCCCGTACGTGTGCAGGCGTTTACTAGATGACGGCACGGTATGCAACGCAGGTTTCCATACACGCAAAGGGCTTACAGCACATGTCTCTCATACTCGTTCTGGTACTCATGGCACTGTGACCCCTGCACACGCGGCCGCTGTTTCTAATGTGTGCCCGTGGTGCCGCCGCGTGTATAAGAACATGCAAACGGTGAAAGCTCACATACGGTCCTATCTATCACACATTGTGTTGGACGTGGTAGCAGTACGCATGTGCATCCAGTATCTTACACAGGTATGATTTGTATACAGTGCGGGCAACAATTCGATACCATGGATGCATTGCTGGATCACGTCATTA